CATATATGGTAGTAAATAAATATATATGCTAACACTCCCCCTCAAGTTGGAGCATGGAGATCACGAATGCCCAACTTGGACAATAAGAACTCGAAGAGAGGCCTGTTCAAAGCCTTAGTGAACAAATCAGCAATTTGTAGACGAGTAGGAACATATGCGGTGGCGATCTCACCGCGCTGAACGCATTCACGGACAATGTGGCAATCAATATCAATATGTTTCATGCGTTCATGAAAAACAGGATTGGCAGCAATAAACAAAGCGGACTTGTTATCACAAAACAAACGTGGCGTTGTCGGTGGAGTAATGCCGAGTGCCCCAAGAAGACCGCGGATTCATCGTACCTCTGCACATGCGTTAGCCATGGCACGATATTCAGCTTCTGCTGATGAACGGGACACGATGGTTTGTTTCTTTGTTTTCCAAGAAACTGGCGAGCCACCTAGAAGGATAAAGTAGCCGCTCACAGAGCGACGAGTAAGAGGACAAGATGCCTAGTCGGAGTCACTATAAGCAGATAGCTGTAGTGAGCTGTCACTACGTAAGAGAATACCCTGTCCTGGATGACCCTTCAAGTAGCGAAGGACTCGTTTTGCAGCTTCCATATGATCAAGGCGAGGCGCATGCATAAATTGAGACAGAACATGAACGGAATAGGTGAGATCCGAACGCGTGATCGTGAGATAAATTAAGCGACCCACAAGTCACCGATACTGCGCCGGGTCATGAAGCTCGGCACTAGTCGACCTACCCAGCCCGTGATTCGGTGTAATGGGTGTGCCGGCTGGTTTGCAGCCCAAGAGACCAGCTTCATGAAGAATGTCTAGTGCATATTTCCGTTGACATAGAACAATACCCTCCGCAGATCGAGCACACTCAATGCCCAAAAAATAAGATAAGGGTCCTAAGTCCTTCAGGTGAAAGCAGCGATCAAGATAAACCTTAAAAGAAGCACATAATGTGGGGTTGTTACCTGCAACCAAGATGTCATCAACATAAACCAAGACAACCAAAATGTCAGATCCTCGACGATGAATAAAGAGAGTGTGATCTGCATGTGCCTGACGAAACCCGTATCGCCGAAGGGCACAAGTGAGCTTCCCGAACCAGTTTCGGGGGGACTGACGCAAACCATAAAGAGATTTGCGTAGTCGACAAACCTTGCCTGGATATAGCTGAGAAAGTCCAGGTGGCAGCCGCATGTATACTTCCTCAATCAGATCACCATGAAGAAAAGCATTATTAACATCGAGTTGGTGCACCTCCCATCCCTTTGCCGCGGCTACAGAGAGTAAAACACGAACAGACCCCATTTTTGCTACCGGGGCAAAAGTATCAGTGTAATCCACCCCCAAAGTCT